CGGAGGGAGCGCTCGGGCGCCGGAGCCCGCTCGGTGAGGCGTTGGGAGGGGGGGCTGCCGTCCTTGCGCCCATAAAACATTTCTACGTCCTAGCATCAAATGACCCGGTTTCGTCTCTGCTTGAGACGGTGGAGTCATGGGAGAAGACTTGTACAGGGCCAGGCAGGGCTGGAATAGGTGTAAAGATGTTATTTTCTTGAGCTGTCCTATGAACCAAGTGGAACTGCTTACCTGTGCGTGGCATTGCTGGTTTACACTCGCAGTAACGATTTTTTAGAATCTGACCAGCTTGTGGGACTGCCAGTTTAGTGAAATGGGAATGTTTCCCATGGACTTGGGAGGGCACATGCTTAGGCATTCTTTGTTCCTCCTGAATTTGAAGCGCTGGGGTTTTTTCCTAACAAAATAAGAATTTAGAATAATAAGGAGAAGGGTTATGTAGAGCCAGAAGTTGAAAGGTACTGCATAGTACCAACTTGCTGTTCAGAGTCTGATTTTCGTGGTGCTGATGTTGGCACCAGATCCATTAAAATATTTTTTTAATTTTCTCAGCTGCCTTAACATTGGCTGTATCAACAGTGGGACAGTGCAACAAACCAGCTAACACAGCAACAAAAGACTTGAGTGAAAAAATGACAATTTTCCTTGAGCAAACATCTAAGTGACAGTGCAGCTGTTGGTGACAGTACTGTGCTGAACTGAGCTTTGAGAGTTTTTTTTCAAAATCAAACAGCTGATTTACTAATGTTATTTTTTTAATACAAGCATATTATTATTTTCTAGCAATTAATGATCTTTATTAAACTTGTCATTGATTGAGGACCCATACGAGGGTTAGGCTGAAAAAAATAACAGCTACCTCAAAAGCCCAGCCCTGCAAGGTTTGTACTCTGGTATGCAACCATTCCTTGGAAACATTAAGCTGCTGGTATTTCAGGACTGGTTTGCGCCTGTAGTACCCAAGAGGAGATCAATTTCAAAAGTGACTCTGTGGAAGGCAAGGAGATTTGTCCCTAATGTGGATCAGGCCTTCATTATCTGTTTCTTTTCATTGTAGGGTAATTTGGGGCGGGGTGAGGTCTGTGCAAAGCAATAACGTTCACTCAGCAGCTTAGTCCATTTCTGATATGATTCTGCTCTTTGGCAGCAGAGGATGCTGTGAAGCTGCTGAAGCTCTGCAAGTAAGAAGAGAAGGAGACCTTTGAGCTGGGTTCTCTTCTGCCATCAGCTGGAGCACAGGATCCCTGATGAGCCAGGAGACCTGAGCCCCTGGTGATGGAATGAGGGAAGGTGTGTCATTTGTAGGAGAGATCTGTGGCTGAGGGAAAAGGGCACTACCGTCTTAGGGGCTGTGGTAAGTCTGCTTGATTTGGCTGCACTAAGCAGCTCTTTCAACAGTTCTTTATCCAGGTCTGGCTGGGATAGCTCGGTTTCTTCTTGAATTGCATCCACTGCATTTACCTAAACATTTTCATGATAACTAGTGTGCAATGTGCACTTCCATGCTGCTTACTGTAGTAAAGCTCTGCTCTTTGAGTGGGTTTCTTGGACACTACTGTAACGTAAAAAACAAATAAATGCTGAGGCCAAAAGACATGTAAAGTGCATTCATGCTGATGACCATTTAATGTTTTTTCTGTATTAGGTTGAGTGCAAACTTTGATTGATAAGATCTGGTAATTCAGCTGGACAGGTCTTCTGGAGGTCTTTACTCCAACCCTAGGGATTCACCGTTCTCGGGCTGGATGAGATTGTGCAGGGCCTTCTTTATCTGGCTGCATTTGGAAAACGTCTTCGCTCATTGTGCCTGGGCTCCGGCCCCAGCACTCTACCACCCCCACCAGGAAGAATTTTTTATTGTATCTCGTAAGAATTTCCTTTGCTGCCACCACATTGTCATGTCAGTGTCTTGCTCTTGCTGCTGAATCTTAGAAGCATAACTGCTTTACAGACTAGGATTTCTCTGGCTGGATGCTGAAGCATAGTTAGGCTGCACTCTCTGGTGGAGGTGAGGAGGAGCGACAGAGCCTAAAACACTCCTACTGTTTCTGTGATTAATCTTTTCATGATAACTCCTTGTGAGGGCCTCCTCTCTGACAGCAGTTTAAGGTTGAAACTTCAGCCAAATGCTGTACACTTTCCCTTTGCAGCAATGGGGAAGGTGCAATTAACAGACAAGGCATCAAAAATGGCGCCTGGCACAGGAGAGGTTTTTTGTAGCCCTGTTTATATGTGTACAACGGCGTTGTGCTGGCCAGTAAAAATAGCATTGCAGAGAGTAGCTCAGGCTTCCTTTTCAGTATTTGAACTAGTGTGCTTCACCACATTATTTCAGCTTCCCTCTCTCTCCAGTGCTGAGGAGCATGTACTGATGTGTGTGAGGTGCTCAACAACTCAACAGTGATAGGAGACAAGAAAATGACAGCTTACATTTTGATCTGCATTTTCAGCGCATAGCGTTGGTATGAAGGGTGGGGGCTTTCAGCTTGTGTGTGTGCTGATGAATTTCTGCGCTTTTCTGTTTCTTTGGAAATACAAAAGGGGGAGGAAAAGGGCACTCAGAGCTTAGATCAAAGCCAAAAGCAAAACCTGGTTCTTGCATTTGCTTGAACAAGAACTGAGTCTGAGGAGATGTACCTTATACTTTTTTAGTGAACTAGGTGAAATTCCAAGGTCTTGACTTCCCTTTGAAATCTCCATGTCAATTTTTAAAGTCTGACTGAAAATTTACAAGGTGAGATGACTTTGAATGTTGTATCACTTAATAAGTCATTTTCATACCTGTATATGTTGTGGTAGCAAGGGTCTTGTGGTGGGTTTTGCCTTCAACGAGAGTGAAGCCATTTAGACTTGCTTTGTAGTCAAAAACTCTTACTGATACAAGTGAGTGAGATTCTGGAGAAGGTTGTAGGGCTACAGAGATTTCAAGAAGAAGATTTGATGAACTGGACTCTTATCTACACTTTTATGTAAGGTGACTTCCACTGAAGAAAAGAATATTGCTAATTTTTGGTTTTGTTGCTGCTGTTTTACCTGTACTTTGAAAAGAGCTCTGAAGCTTCTCTGCTGCGTGTATTTGGGTGCTTTCTACCTTGCTTCCTTTTTTATGAGAATTTATGTACAAAGAGGGTATTAACAAAAGAACAAGAGACACTGCATGATCAGGTCTGATTCAAACAGAGACAGGCACAATGCTTTCACTGAGGCTGTTTGATACTTTTGTTTTGAGCACTGAATTAATGCAGTTGCTTATCAGAAAATTGGAAGGAAAAAGATCTGTTGAGAACAGAAAAATTCCCTATCAAGTTGGCATTTCTATTACTTCTAAAGTTAAGGAGCCAACCTTATCCGGTTTATCACACAAAGCCTTGATTGTGACTCCAAAGTGGTGCTGAGGGCTTGCAAAGTTGGACAAGTACTCTTGTTAAACAGAGGTTGGCTCAAAGGTTTTGCATGGCAGTATAAGTTGAACTAAGTTAGTATTTCAGTATGCGTCAAAGAGAAGTAAAAGGTTTGGGGACTGAACTGAAACAGTAGGTGATGTGAAGGTTGTAAGAGAAAGATGAAAACCTTTCCTTCTATATCTATCATACCAGTAATTTTTCTGGATGGCAGGTTCATAGGAATCCCCCTTTTTTCCTTTTCTTTTTTTTAATGCAGGGTTGATTCTCCTGGCTATATGAAGGAGGGAAAGGGTGACTACAGAGCAAGAAGCTGCTGTGCTGAAATTGCTTCAGGCTACCTCCTGGAAGGTAAGAGAAGTTATTAAATGCTTTAGGGAAGTCTTTCTTCCTCTAATGCTTGATCACCTTTACAAAGTTAACGGAAGAGAAAAAGTGAAATGTAGCATTGCCCAAAGAGAGTGAGTCCTGGAGAGATTTGCACCAACAATCAGGCCCCAAAAATGTGCTGCAAGCAACCTCCTCTGGAAATGTGCTGGTATTCCAGGTCAAGTAACTACAATCTCCCCTGCGATGAGACGTCTGTCCATTGTCTTCCTCCTTCCTCTGCAGCCTTCCTTCAGCTCTGCCTTCAGATTTGCTGTTACATAACACCATCTTCCTAAAGCATCAGGAATTTTCCAAAGCCATAACTATTGCATATGTGGCTCCATCAAGGCTAAAAACCCAAAGCACAACCTCTTTCCCAGGCTTCCAAGGAAAAGGAAAGAAGAAGCAGGAGTGATCTGTTGAAGTGGATTCCCCATTTCTTTTCTTGTACCGAGATCCAGGTCAAACACACTAGTCCTCTGCCCTAGTGTCACATAATAATTTTATTTTCTTGCAGACACTGTAGCTGTTTATACAGACTAAATGTAATGTTTGCTGTTATGAAAATCTATCCAGAAGCCAAAATACACACGCTTCCCTCTTCCCTAGAATAATCAGTACGTTGTTCATGGTTAAGCTAAAGGACCAGCTGAGTTAGCTCACAAGTCTTAAGAGACTTGTGTCTGCAGCTATTTCTGAGTAACAGACATACACTGTGATAGTGTGGTTGAAACTGCTTGGCTCTCTGGGAAGCTCTACAGAGCTCCAGAGACTTACAGTCTTTGAAATGCTCCTGTATAACTACAAAACTGAACTTTGAACTTGTAGATCTAAAATCAGGAGCTTATGCTCCCTTAAGTTCAATAATGCCCATCAAGAAGTCTTGATTCTAAGGGTGTCAAAAAGCACTACACATCGTGGTGTAAAATAAGATCTTTCTCACTCTCGCAAAGGAGAGATGCTAAAATTTTTCACTGTGTTAACTACAGTAACCTGGGTTAAAAGAGCCGCAATGCTGTCTTTGTATTGTGTGTCCTGATGTAAGGTATGGTGGCAAGATGAAAGCTATGTCATTAGGTTCTAGTTCATCTTTAATCAATTGGACTAAATCATATTCACACCAGTAACTTTATTACATTAATTACTGTCAAGTAAGAGATACTCTTCTCTCATGCTGTTAGTTCATAGAAGTTGTAAGTACAGGTTTTGCAATGACCATTGTTCAATGACCAGATCTATCGATCAGACCTGATTTTCTCCATTTGTTTAAATCTCATATAGTCATTCTTCTCCTGCAGGGTGGGTATGAAAAGTAGAACAGGGTAGAGTAGAATAGGGTCTGTTACCTCAGCATAGAAACCTGGCCTGGCCAGATCGTAAGGTTATTCATCAGTATTTCTTCTGTTTTCAAAACACTTATAATTCTCAATGATCCAAAGGCACTTTTTTGTGCAGTCAGCATCCTACATGCATGACCCTGTGTGTCAGCAAGAGCTGTGCCTTTAAAGTAAGGTATGTCCAAATGATCAGTCTGGTTCAGACCAAGCATCTGCCTGCTCCCTGTCTCCAGCAATGGCTCCAAGCTCACTGTCTAATAGTTTGCCAGGAGCTTAGCATGTGAAAGGATGCTTTCTGGGAAGCAGCTAGTCCAAGCTCAGGGAAGCCCTGCCTGGCTCACACCTACCCAGGCAGCTGGTGAGGAAGCACACATGCTCTGTGGGGACAGCAGTGTGGCTGCAAGAAGAGATGATGGGACAGCAGGTTGGGAGATCCTCTCAGAACAGAATGGTGAGAAACTCAGCAAGCAAGGTTCTTGTACAAGTGCTTCTAGTGCACAGGAAGCATTGTTAGGAGTGGCCTGGTAAGATTTGCTGTGTTCCCCAGGGCAAGAATGGTGCTGAGGGGACAGGTTCAGCCCTTGTAATGTGCACAAGAACGGATTGGTAGTGTTGTACCAAGTACAAATTGAGCTGGCTGACTAAAAGCAAACAAAATCCAAAGCCAGACAACAGGGAAGCAGAAGAATGAGGCATGATACTCCTCCTGGATACCCTCCTAGCCTATGTATGTGTTCACTTTAGGGATTTCCTGAACCTGGTGTGCTTTATCTAGTTAGTGACTTTCAGTAGGTCTCTATTCTAAATGCTTAATCAGTCTCCCTTGAGAACTAGAAAATCCGTCAGTAAGGAGGTCTCTGATCTATAGGGTTTGTCTAGAACCCAGCTTCTGTTAGCTTCATTGATGGGTCCTTGTTCTTCAATATCTGAAGAGACAATGAAGAGTTGTTCTTACCTATGCCATCAGGCCTCCCAAAGATGCCTCTTCACTAGGGTGGAGAATCCTAGGCCACTAGCTCCTTGTATGGTGACCACTGTCACCATGTGCAAAGTATGTGTCAACAGCACATTGCTTACCCGTGAAGTGCGCGAGTTTAAGTGAAACACTGCAGATCTTAATCAGCAGGTTAGTGGATTTCTAAATTAACCCACTGTCTTGAGCAATTTTTTCTTCTCTCAAGACTCTGAGAAACAAAGAACAAACTTTTGTCACTGCCTGTTCTTGTGTCTGGTTTGAAAAAGAGCACCTTAAAAGACCAGTCAATAACTGTCTTTGCAGCACTCTGATTTTTAGTCTTGCCTAAGTCTGTTGAATCACAACTTTCACTTCCTTTGTTGTCAGAGTTTCTTAATCTTTCGTCTCACATTGGTCTAGCTCTGTGGACAGGACAATGTCACCAAATCAGAAATAATCATACTGAAGATGAGGCTGAGGACCGCAGAGACAAGTCTATGAGCAAGGACCCTGGGGACTTGGCTGGAGTGGAGAAGTGGAGGAGCCCCCATACAGTTGAAGGTAGGTGGTGTACTTTGACAGAGATAGGGCAGCAAGGACAGAGAACAGAAGCTTCTGGGAGCAGTTTGTGATAGTTAGTTTGGAAACCACTAACGTTTTTTAAAAGCTAGTTTTCCCACATAGGCTGAACTACTCCACGGGAGCCCAGTTGGGTACAGAGTGGCTTGCAAAGACTGAAATGTATTTGAGGAGCAGGCCAGCATACTGAAAGTCACAGAATCAATTTTCTTACCAATATTAGTGTCTGCCAAGAACTTACTCTGTGCGACTCCTTACCAGAGATCTCAAAAATGCTGATAAGGTGTAGGGCGTTGTAGGGTAGCTGTACCACCTCAGCATCAGACTTCCTTTTTTGTCTATTTATATAAGTTGTCCTTCTTACCAGAGCATGCTTTGTCATGAGTTCTGTGGGATTTCATTGTCTTTTCAGCTCTTAAATGAAACAGAGTGTCCCAAACAATACCGGATCTCAGGACTGCGTGATCTTCCCCTTCTGGGTTCTTTTGCAGTTTCATTCTTTTTCAGTGTAATAAAACCCAGAGCCCTTGCTCTCTTCTTCAAAACGGCCTTGAAAGTCCCTGGCTAGACTATCACATGGTTGTCACTGGTTTTCCCCAAGGGCCTGGTTTCTTATGGAAACACAAGTCCTTAGGGTTGTTGTCCAAGTCTACTTTTCACAAGAGAGCTGTTTTCTACTCTTACTTGTGGGAAAACTCCTGCAAACTTTCCTCTCCCATAAGTTTCAAACTTTTCCTCTCTTCTGGACTTACTCATTCTCCATTAGTGTGAGACACTGACCAGTCACAGCAGCACTGTGCCTGCTTCCTGGAGGAACAGAATTTCTCCCTCTAAATTTCTTAAGAGGCCTTGGAGAAGTTCTCTTGTTTTCACCTATCAAAGGAAAATATAAGAAATTGGCTTTTATTTTTTAAAACAAGGGGCCATGTGAAAGCCATGTGACATAGAGCCCTATCCGCCTTTACTGATTCTTAAGATAAGCTGTCTTTTAGATTATGAAGTTGAGTTGCACAGTATCGAAATGCATATAAAAACTGGGCTTTAATCCATCATTAGTGTTTCTATAGTCACCACCTTAAACAGGTAAGGGGCTACATCTGTTAACTGGGGAAAGTGGAGGATACTGGTGTGATGCACTAGCTGAATAGTTTTTCTGTTGCCTCACGCTGGTATCAGTGTGACCCTCCTCTATCATTGTGATCCATTTCTTTCTCATTTTTTTTCTATAAGAAGTAAAGCAAGGGATATTAGACACACAATATTAAGCTATCCTAGAACTAAGCATCAAGTCTGGTAAACTTGTGGAGTGTTATTTGAACTGTCCAATGTAACAGAAAAGTGAGTTGTTTTTAATACTGATGTAGCATTTCTCTAGGTAATTCAAAATCATATATCAGTGTCAATACTCTCTATTAATCTGTGGAATTGTGGAATATACTGCTCTAAAAACATACTGAGTCATTCCTGTTACATTTTCAGGGCAGTTTTGTCACAGGATTACAGTGATATTATATACTGGATGATTCTGGGGGCTTCATGAAAGCAGTGAGCATTTTAGAGAGCGTATACCTTTTTTGAAGAATAATCTTACAATATAGGAAATAGGGTCTAGGTTCTTAAGTTCTTATAATTTTTAAACTGACTGATTTCTTGCTAATTTGAAGTCAGTGTTTTAGATGTGCTATACGTAGCTCAGTTATTACAATTGCACTTCTGTAAAAGACAAGTTACGTACTGTTCAACAGTTTATATGTTTTAAGTTTTGCTGTGCATTTTCTTGTATAATTTCTCCATAAACTCAGATAGCATGTTAGAGCTTGCATCCAAGCAGGTTGATATATTTGATTGACTTTTTCAGTGCTGAGGTCTTTGGATCATGAAAAATGTCTGAACTAGCATGTTTTCCAGCCCTTTCCTGGAAGTACTAGGTGGTGAACTCTAACAGCTGTTATTCGTTAGCTTGAGCAGTTTCTTCATTTAAAGTACAGGATCTTGGGCTTATTCTGCAAAGGAGGCCTACTAGATCTCTGAGGCCTTTGGTGATTATTTAGTAAGTCCAGAAACTGTTGACATTCAGTGGTTTGGTTTTTTTCTGAAAGTTTTTCCCTGTAATTTTTGGGTATAGTGACGGCAAAAGATAAAACTTACGTTCTTTGGTTTGTCTCTATATCTCCTTCTGCACTTCTAAATCCAGCCCCTGCCCCACCAGAGAGTGGTGGGACAGATAATGGTGATAGTGGTTCTACTGCTGAAGACATGGTATTCAACATATGGTCTGCAGGTGGTTAGGGAGGGGTTTATTCTATCACAGGACAAGTCAGAATGCTTATTGAAATTATGAGGCAGCAGGCTTAAATCAAGCAAAGGGAAGTTCTTTTTACATAGCACAGTAGAAATAAACTATAAGACTGATGGGCACAGGGTCTTACAGAGACCAGGAGTATTAAAGGGCTCAAAAAAGGAATCAAAGAAAATCACAGAAAGGCACAGATGCAAAACCAGCCTCTGACTCTGGCTGTCCCTGAACAGCAAATTACCACATCTTCCTAGGGTATATTAGAGGAAGAGTTAATCTTGCCCTGCTTTTTGTGCTCTTTCCCAAAGTACTCGTCATTGGCCACTATCAGAGAAAGGAGCCTGGCTTTTTATAGATTTGATTCACTGTGGCTGTCCTTATGTTACTGACCCCCTACGTCAGTGAGGATTCATGGCTGAGAACACATTTTCTAGTGTGCAGGAAAAAAAGTAAAATTCATGTCCTCACCCCCACCACAACTTGTTCTCACTTTGTTAATATGCAAGGTTAATGAGCATAAACACATCTGCTTGACCTAAACACATTCCCTAGACTAAGAGCCGGAGTGCATTAGATCCTGGGATGGTTTGAGAAGAAAAAGTAGAACAATGTCAAGTTACTCTTAATTCTGCTGTGGTCTTATTTGGTTAGCTCACAAATATTCAGGAACAGCAAAAAAAATGCAGGCTTCCAGTGTAGTCCAATGCCAAGAATGTAATCCACAGTTTGTCCTTAATCCCTTGAGGATCATCTCAAATGTTTCCAGTACTTTTGGCAGGAATATTAAATTACAAACTCTAGGATACTTGCCAGAAACAGGAAAAAAAAGAAGGTTCACAGTAAAAGCAGTGCTCCTGCTCTATGCTTCTGCAGGAGCAAAATGGCATGTCAACATGGAATATTCTTTGAAAAAAAAAAAAAAAACCAACCCACAAAACAACAAATTAAAAGGGCAACTTCTCATAAGTGTCTTACAGTAATCTATTCCAATTAGTTCAATACAAAATTATGCACTGTTTGGTGCCTGATGGCAATTCAAGGAAGTAAGTGAAGGCGACTATCTTGTCAGTATGTTGAGCTTTTCTTTTATGGAGCTAAAAGTACTTATCTATCTAATTTCCAACTCAGGCTGAGACCTGAGCTCCAGAGCCTGACTTCTGCTTTGTCTGTGTGTCAGAAGGAACTTATAGAACACAGTGGAGTTGCTTCAGATTAACTCTGATATAACCAAGGCCAGAGTTCAAAGATTACCATTTTTGTTGAATTTACCATAAGAAGGTACTTATACCTTTGTAAAATAAATCCTCAACTATGCAAAGACCTCCAAGGAGAGAGTGTTGGACGACTGTAAGGTCTTGTTGTATGTATGTCAAGGCTCCTTTGAGAATTACACGCAACTTAATACTTGCTTTATTTGTCAAGGTGAAAGTCTGTTTGTCTTTAGAGAGCGAATCTTTAGCCATTTCTGATTAAATTGTTATACTAGGGTAGTTTCATGGGTATAAGCTCTCCACTAGAAAAAAGGACAAAATATAAACTGTTTATTTATTTGATTGATATTGGGAAAATTTGTTCTTATAGCAGACATGTTGACTTTGACACATTTTCTTCCTTTCTAACTTTTCCTGATCTCTGTCCCACATGACTGCTTTTCCAGGGCCTGCAGAGGAGTGTCTGACATTCTCATCCCTTCTAGGCAATACTCTGGTTGCTTCTGCAAGAGATAGAAACAGCAATGATTTATTTAGTAATACATTTTAATTTTGTCACTCTATTTGTATTCTCTTCCTCATGCTTTATTGAAGAGCTGTCCTTAAGATCAGCTAGAGATTTAAGTCAGAAATTCCAGCTGTACCTTACCTAAAATACACATCTTACAGAATACCAAGAGTACCCAGATGTCCCTTCATTGGCTATTGCTTTAAAATAAGAGGAGTCTGAGCTTCAGTCTCTGGATTTATTTTTTTTTGGTTCCTACCCCATTTGGGTCCATTAATGCTATGATGATGCAAACAAAAAATAATGTAGTTACACAGAGCTGGTAACAGTATTTTATTGCCACGCTGTTTAGCACCAATGCCAAAAAGTCTTCATGGATGGTGCTGTACTTTGCTGGTGCCTCCCATTCAACAAGTGTCCTAACTTGGGCACAGACATGACAGAATCAGTCTCTCACTTTCTGTCAAGAATGGAGTGGCTGAAAAAACCACTTTTCTTCTTCATATGAGACAGTTGTGTGTTTCTGCGATGGCAGGAAAGGGTGGAGAGGAGGAAGTGTTGACCTCAGGGCTGCTTTCATCTTATCTTTTTTGCCTTTTCTTGGTCTGAGGGGTATCTGTGTCTGCCAGCTAGGACTCAACTGTGATTGCATGTCTTACCTTGCAAAGCTGATTGACTTTTTAGGGTGCTTTAAAGACCCATATATTGCATTAGCACCAGATATGTTAGAAGCCACACCCTGTATCGCATATACAACTCTAGCCATAAACAGAAAATAGCATGCATTTCCCACTTGTTAATCTAGTTTTGATAAATCTAAGTGTGACAGCATCTGGCTTGTTATCTTGATTCTTTTTGCAGCTCTGTTCAGATGAAAGGGTTTGAAAGAACACCGAAACTAGAGAGAAGGTGACAGACAGATCAAATACATGGAGGAGCAATGCGCATTCTGCCTGCCTCTTGTGAA